AGTCTCTTAGGTTATGTTTTGACAAGAGAAAACAATTCAAAAACAGCTTTAATTGAATTTAAAAGTTAAAATGATTTTTTGTATTTTTAAAAGTGAAGTAACTCAAAGTGTTACGTATAACTTAATGATGACAAGTTAATTTTACTTCTGTTTAGGCAATGGGAAGGATTATGGAAAAGATTACAAACTTATTTTTCACTTACAAAGAAAACCCAGGCTGAAACTCCAAATCAAAGAGGTGGATGAATTTGGAAACTATAGCTGCCCTCATTATAAGGGCACCATTGTTGTTTATAAAGTACCTAAAGAGAAGATAGTCCCCAACTTGGACCAATCTCTTATAATTTATGAAACCAGTGGATTGCTGATTTGCAAATTATCACTGAGATTGCCAAAGGTGAGTTATATTTTCTATTCTTCCTTTTTTTTTCCCTTACTATGTCACCTGGGCTAGAGTGCAATAGCATTATCATAGTTCACTGCAACCTCAATCCTCCAAGTGGCTGAGAGACTATAGGCACGTGCCACCATGCCAGACTAATTTTTCTATTTTTTGTAGAGACTGGGTCTTGCTCTCACTTGGGCTGGTCTCAAGTGATTCTCCTTCTTCGGCCTCCCAAAGTGCTAGGATTACAGATGTGAGCCACTGTGCCCAGTCTTAGTTTTATAATTATTTATTTTTTTAATTTATAGTTATCTATCATAATTAGTTTTTCAGACAAATGGACACATAAGGTTAAAAGAAAAGGTAAGAATAAACCTGGTAAGAAAGGAGCAGGTAACTCCAATTTTAGAGTGATAGAACATACAAGGAATGACAATTAATTTTGTGAATTCATCCTAGAAAAAGTTCTACATACATCATTGCTCAATACCACTCTGGTCATCTTCAGAGTCCTCCCGTGGGAAGCTGTGCACCAATGCCAGTGCCTAGTCCACCATTCAAAGCAATTTTAGAACTCTTTTTCCTGAATGGCCATCAGAGGTGTTATATTAGCCCTTGGCATCCTAAATGTTATCAAAACATTTCAATGTTTCCTTTATCTTTTGGGTAAAGAAAAAAGTCAACATAAATAAATACATTTACAAAACAAATAAATACATAGCAAATAATACATTTAATTGCTATCTATATAATATTTTTCAGTGGTCCAGGACTTACTACGTCTAAACTATATTCATTTTTTTTTTTTTTGACACAGAGTCTACCCTAGGTAGAGTGCTGTGGCATCACAGCTCACAGCACCCTCAAACTCTTGGGTTCAAGTGATTCTTTTGCCACAGCCTCCCCAATAGCTGGCACTACAGGTGTCTGCCACAACACCTGGCTATTTTTTATTGTTGCAGTTGTCATTGTTGCTTAGCTGGCCTGGGCCGGGTTCAAACCTGCCACCCTTGGTGCATGTAGCTAGTGCCATAACCACTGAGCTATGGGCATTGAGCCCTAAACTATATTCTTTTTTTTTTTTTTTTGAGACAGAGCCTCAAGCTGTCCCCCTGGGTAGAGTGCCGTGGCATCACAGCTCACAGCAACCT